ATGGCAAACGCTTGGAACATAACTTCGGCCCACGCCTGCTTGCCAAGCTTGGCTCACGACTGGACAGCCAATGATGAACCAAGACTTGGTAAACAATATTAACCCAAGATTGGCCACCAATATTGGACCGAGTATGGCAAACGCTTGGAACATGATTTCGTACCAAGCCTGGCTGCCATGCTTGGTCCACGACTGAATAGACAATGTTGAGTAAAGACTTAGTGAACAATACTAACCCAACATTGGCAATCAATATTGGACCAACCATGGCAATGCATGATTTGTAACTTCGGCCCAAACCTAGTTAGAAATCTTGATTCACGACTGGACAGCCAATGCTAAACCAAGACTTGGTAAACATTACTTACCTAAGACTGGGCAGCCTATTTTAGGTCAAGATTGGATGAACAATATTAGCCCAAGATGGGGTGGTCAATTTTTTTTGACGTTTGTAATGATTTCAGTATCGGAAAAGTAAAAATTAAAAATCATATATTTTATTAATATTTGATGACATGCAAACTAAAAAAATAATTACCCAGAACGTACGCTACACATGTGATAAATAAGATAATGAATTTAATTTCACAGACATTCATGTTGATAATGAATCAGATAGCGTTTTCTTCATATCCTTGTATTCTTTAAAATGGGTGTACATAAGTAAATTAAAGTATATTAGGTCACATTAGGCTTTTCAATGCGTCGCTGCAGCCTACCGTCTCTCTGTCGCCTGCACCCGATAACTAATGGCAGGTAGCTCCTAATGTATTTAATGGCTTATCCATACAGTTTGATTTCAAAAAACCCTAAAAAAAAATATTTACAAAAAATAAATAGGATCGAAAAAACACAACGAAAAATATTGAAACCATATACATATCACAAGCTGTGATATATTAATTTTTTTTTAAGTCTTCAATTTTAAATTTCGGAATGATATAATTAGCTCTCTTAATCAGTAAGTTTCTAAACGAAATGAAAAGTACTAAAACAATGAAAACTGAAAATTCTTACCATTTATACATTCATGTTTTCGTTTCAAGAAAACTTCTTCCTCTGTGCCCTTCATAACCTGGTCAGTGGCTCTATATAGCAACTGTATGTCTTTATTTATTATGTTTTCTATATTATTGATAACATCTATTTCGTAATTATTAGAGCCTGATGTGAGGATGCGAAAAAGTTGTTTCTGTAAAAAATATTGTTAAACTTTATGCTCACAACATCCTATCGGTTTGAAAGAATACTGTCCGAATTAATAAATTGAATTAGTACTAATAAATGCAAACAAAATGCAACATTTTCAAATGTAATTTTAAATTTATTTTTCTGAGAATATAGAGAATAGTGAGAAAGTTTCTGTTTAAAATCGCACACCGAAAGTTAATTATACTTTTTTCCTCTGACAAATATAATAAAGTATATTATATTGCATATTTTCGATTTATAATAAAATATAATTTTTTCTAAATAAAGAACATTAAATTTTTTTTTGTTTTTCATTGATAACCTGCTAATTAACATAAATAAACCGATGTCCCGTATGGGTTATGTATACCGGGCTGTAACATACATAACTAAAATGATGGGTCACTCCATGAGTCGGAAATCCGACACTAAGTGCATCATTTGTGTCAAGTTAGATTCGCCTTTGGTTGTACGTAAAATAATAATAAACAGGAATGATATTAGAAAATACATATTTATAAACTATTTCAATTTAACAAAATAATTCGAAGTGGTCTGTATTCTGTCGAAACTGCCAGACGCGGATCGCGATTTCGATCTTTTTGGATCTCATCAGCGCGTCGC